CAAATATACTTATTATTTCTTGTTCTTACTTTCTCTTGAGATATATCTCCATTGCTGACGAATATTGAAATTCCCTCAGGAGTGGTCAGTACTTTACCACTTGATGAAGCAGGAAAAGAAGAGGATGTTGACTTGGACTCTTGATAGAGATTGGAACTAACCAAAGTCGGCTTGTCCATTCCTTCGTTGAATGTTCGTTCTTTACCAAACTGCCTTTTCGTTTAAAGTAAAGTAAAGTACCTATATTTAACGTCGGTAGTTCCTTCAGTTGAAATTCAACTGCTATCAATGGAAGCCGACGGTGCGCACTTTACCCCCCTCTCTCCATCAGTGCTCTGTTTTAAGAGTATTTAAAGCTGAAGCTACACGGATTAGAGAAAAGTCGAAACAGACGTTCATATCCTAAGGATCGAACCGTGGACCTCAAGCTCTGAAGGTCGCGCACTAACCAACTGAGCTACGCCTGCTCCTAAAAGAATTTTGATTACATCAAAGAACGCTTCATCAAAGAACGCTTTAACGGTCATGTCATCAATATTTGTAAAATGGACCTCAGAGAGATTGCAATGAGGATTCTTCTGGAAGAAAGTCATGACGGTTTCCACCAAAATACTTGCACAAAGATCAAGGGGAAATCCAAATATGCCTGCACTGACTGCAGGGACGGCTATTGAACGGTAGTTCTTTGCTCTATCAAGACAATTCTCAAAGGTAAACCTTAGGATATCCTTCTTTCTTCTTGACCCGCTATCTCCTTGATCTCTGAATGAATCCCAGCGAGGGCCAACAGCGTGGATAATTCTCTTACATGGTAGCTGCCCAGGTCCTGTTTCCAGCACATGGCCCTCGATAAGTGGACCATGCGAGTTCATGTATCTGTTACATTCACTTTGTATTCCTTGGCCACCGACTCTAACAATATCCCATGCGAACCCTCCAACATGCTGAAGATTCTCGTTGGCTGCATTGACGATCAGATCCACTGGATGTTTTGTAAGATCATCTTTATAGACGAGCTTTTTCTTTTCCATTGTGGTGTAGCTGCAAATTACCTCTTCATTCGCCACTCTTTTGGAGCCCCCCATTCCTTTCGAAGAGCTTGCTCCCTGTTCCTCCAGCTGATCCAGGTCAACTAACTCAACAGTGCACTTGTATTCAGCTTCTATGGCTTTAATAACTTTAGTACCTTTGCTCGACTTAAAGGGATGTGAGAGAAGGGTCATGACTAAAATTTGGCGCTGGAAAGAAAATTCGAAGACGTACGAGGTTTCAAAGACTCGTGATGGTTCGCTTTTGGGACTCGAGTCTCCAACCTTCTCTTATTTCTTACTGGTGGGGAGAAAAATCTTAAAACGGGCTAAATTCAAAAAATAGCCACGCAGAGCGAAGGAAGTGCTATTTCTCAATGATCGGGTAAAATTTCGAGGCTTTATTTCACGTTTAGATGATTTTATTGACATTTTTGATGAATCCCCATACATTTCCTTATAAAAGGACACCACAGAAACCAAGTTTGGGCAACCTGTGGTTTAATCCCCCAAATTGAGCTGCTTTGACGTCACATGGGTAGCATGGGTGGCGTTCGCGGCTAACGCGTCGTCTTTCACCGCTGTGAGTCCAACGGGTCGGGTCGCTGGTTCAAGCCCTGCAGTCGCCACATGAACTGAGTTTGTTTGATGTGTTGTTCTCTCCTATGCTACGAGGGTTTTCTCCGGGTTCTCCGGTTTCCTCCCTCTGTAAAAATCAACATGTGAGTTGAGCGTTTTGTGCATAGAATATTAAATGTTGTGGTAGTGCGTGTGAGCGAAAAGTGTTCCCAATTAGTGCGAAAGCGCTAGAACGACTAGACACTTAAATAAAGTGATTTATTTTTATTTTTTACATGCAAGGGGTCTATACGACGTGTCGTTACTAGAAGATAAGGTACGACTTCAGATGTAAGCATGTAATTGGTTACGAAGCTAACAAACCTTTGGTTCCATTTCATTCCATTTCATTTCGTCTTTAGTACATGATTTTTTTCAAGTAGAGAAAGAAAGAAAAAACCCCAATGCAACGCAGCGCTTTAAAAGCGCAATTTCTTAATAAAAAAATCATTTTTCGTCCTTTCCATGTCCAATGTTTTCTATACAGGTTTGAATATTTAGAAAAAAATTGAAGGCGACTAGTTCGGGAGACCCTACGTAGCAAGCAGTTGATGTAATGTATCCATAACAATACAATAAGAACGACAATAGAATATAATAAATATTATGAACACACTTCATCAACTGAGTGCTATGTAGATTCTCTCGTCGCTCTTCATTTTAGTGTCCAGGCCTACCTGTTCGTATTTGTCCGGGGTTTTCATATCGGCTAGGACTAGTCCCAGACTCTTTGTAATGGCTTCCCGCACTTCTTCACTTCGATCGTCTGCCAGCATTTGCTTCATCATTGACCAGATCAGCGATGAACGAATTGTATCCTGKTTTTTGAAAATAGGAAATTAGGGGCCGTTCATTTTTACGTTAATTTTTCATTTTAAGATCCCAGCCCCACATGCTCGCAAAAAAATGAACGGTACCTTATCTGATTACGATCAATAAGCTTACCACTTTTTTCTTAATTCTCTTAATTCCTTTGAAATGTGCACGCCGAACCCCAATAATTAACCTTAATAACCTTCTCGAAGTACGAGAGACTGGTAACGAACTTGCGGTGCATAGGATTGGGGATTGGATTCAGTGTAAATATTACCGATAATTTGGCAGGGCTGCAGTCTCACCACTATTAGAGAGGTTTAGCATGACGTTTTTTGGAAGATACCGCGAACCGCTAACCTGAAGATGTCACGTGACTATGCTCCTGCCGTCACGTTTGTCGTTTGCGGTTCAAGTTTTCACGGCAAGACACTCGTTCTGTGGTAAGTGTTTTCCCTCAGGATTTTTTATCTTTCGTAGTAGGAGAACTGATCGACGTAAGGTGTTATTTGTAAAGTGATTTAATACATAAGGGATTGAGGGTTGCATTTTTTTGTTCCTTTTTTTATTTTTGAAGAGACACAGTAAATTTAATTGAAGGCATAGTCATGAATGAAAATGAAACATGGCGCTCCCCATGCTCGTTGGCAGACTGGCAAAACAAATCGCTCTTTTTGTATTTTCAGTGAAAGAGTCCATAATATAGCCTGCTTTTTAGATAATTTAGCTATTTGCAGATATGTATGTCTGAATTGAGTACCTTTATTTACTAGAAATCATGCCTTTTGGTTGGCATGATCGTTTTCAATTAGTCAAGATATTGCACTTGCCTGACCGAAGTCGCAAGTCTAAGGCCCCGTCCACTCGTATCCGGAAATTTTTGTATCCGCAAATTATTTTTTGCGGATACGAAAATGTTTGCGTCCACACGCAGCGTATTCGAATCGTTTTCACCGTCCACACGTATCCGTTTTCGTAAAATTTGCGGATACGGACACAAAAATTTGCGCACACGTGTGGACGCAACCCGTATCCGCAAAAAAAAATAAATAAAAAATTTGCGGATACAAAAATTTCCGGATACGTGTGGACAGTGAAAACGATTTGAAAAGGATCCAATAAAAAATTTGCGGATACAAAAATTTCCGGATACGTGTGGACGGGGCCTAAAGCCAAGCAAACCCAGTGAATGTGAATTTAAAATATAGCAAAGAAGCTATCTCCTATATTTTCTACAGAGGAAAAGCCAGTAAACCTCACGGGTCGTGCATGCAGAGAAAGATTGGAAAGAATTATCGAAAAGTATAAGGATGAAGAAAAATATCACTGAAAAGGTACGCTAAAATTTGTTTACAAAGTTTTCTTGACCTTTTTCATTTATATAAAAGCCTCGTCTGGTCTTTAATTTATTCTCCAATTATACTAAATGAGTTTAGACATAAATTGTATGAAAATAAGGTTATATTCAATTAATTGTTAGATATATGACTCTGTGATTGTTTTGTTTTTAATCAGATTGAAATTTAGCTTACTCTCTTCAAATGAAAGGAAATGGTCAGAATGAAGAAATATCTGAAATATGACTTTACCGACCTTGCAGCAGCCGCCGTGTTCTTGAGAAAAATACCACAATCCTCAGGTTTTTGTCGTATGTAAAATACGATTTGCTAAACCCCTCTAAAAATCTATACTTCGAACCGCAAACCGCTGACTTCAAACTGCGGTTAGTGGTTCGCGGTTTCTCTCGGTAAACGTCATGCTATACCTCTCTATTATTTCATATCTACGGCTCCAATGTCACATGCAACAATCTTACCGGTAGATAAGACGATAGGTTCCCACAACCCTCGGCTACTAATAGTCTTTTTTCGTGAAACTTGTGTGTAATCTGAGGGAAATAGTTAAAAGATCGATGTAAATAAATTATACTCTTTCATTCATGGGCATAAAAAAAAACAAGCTGCGCGACATTTCTTGTTGCAATAGCTTTTGTGGTTGCTGATGCAGGACGTATTTGACTATTGCTGCTATATTATGTTACTCGCTGCTTTTGCCGGTTTCTTTACATCTTTACAACTGCTGTCACTAATTTTTTGCTATTGCTGTTTCTTTTCTTTTCTTTGAAAAGGTTGCTATAAATTGTTTTCATTGTTGCTATGTGTTGTTGTTGGGAGGGAGTGAATGGGGTAATGAAGGATAATGGAAATTAGGGAAGGAAAGAAAAATAGTAACATAGGGAGAAAAGAAAGGGACGGGTGAGAAGAGGAGGAAGAGAAGGATAGAAAAGGACAGTCAAACAAAAACACATGCACACTATTAACATTTACCTGTTCCCACCACTGAGGGAGCAGTTCAGCTTCAACACGCGAAGGTTCGACAACTTGTGCAAAGGCTGCACATCCGTTCATGATTATCTGTCTATCAGATAATAACAAAAAAAAAAAAAATGGTGAGACGTGTTGAGTTTAGTCTATCATCATCGATTCAATAGGGTATATTACTTTATGTGGGACTATATCTATTACCTCTGTTCCTCATCTGGTCTCTTGATGAGGTTAAATAGCATGTGCATAAGATTGTCTCGTTCTTTGATGTCTGGATGATGGATTGCGGTACAAAGTATAACTGGAATCAATTCCTACAACCACAAAGGAAACAATAGAAACTCACTTTAGAAAAACAACAACAATAACAAATAAATAAAAAGCAAAGAAAATCGTTTGCAAAGAAAAACCAAATGAACTTTGTCACGCAGTGTTGCAGCCATGTTTATTCCCACGAGTATTAAATCAGTCGTTTCTGCACATTCAAACATATCCTTAGTGCTTGAATGCGAGGCTAGGCGGGCAACAATCTGTTGTTCCACTCAACAAGGCTGCCACATGAGAAAAGTATAATTTTTCCAACAATAACCAACAAATGCAAATATAGACTTCTTCGGCTCCGACGTAATGTTTTCCCATTTCAGACCACATGTCATTCCCTAGAGTATCATTTCTTTGTTTAAGGTTTGCGCTCGGTTGCACATGAGAAGACACATGAATATGGATACAGCTCAAAAAAGAATCTTATTCTCAAGGGAATAACACGTGGCCTGAAATGGGAAAACATTACCCCAAGCCGAAGAGGTTATTAAATGGAAACGTCTCGGGTAACACGCTTTCCAAAGAAATTTGGGAGTTCCAGTATGACTTATGAGTATGCTCTTGCGCTTGAAACATTAAACGACTAGCAGTCATACTTCTACCCCCTGGAAAGGATGCTAGTGTAGGTTGTCGATCAAGTGGTTTACACCTGCTTTGCAGCGTCCGCAACTTACTGACCACTTCTCAACAGGATAGTGGAAACAAGAAACATTGAAGAAACGCTGCACTCACCTCTCTCTTATTTAACAGGACATTTGGTACGATATGAGGAAGACACCTTGCTAGGATTAGAACCACATCATCACTTGTCTCTGACAGCTTGGACACCTGGACAAGTACAAACATTAATAAACAGAACGTTTTGCTAATCCAAAGCATACAGATCTATGTGTTCCTTGATTGCAGACTCATTTCCTCAGGGCTTGCATTAGGTCATTTCAGCAGCCGTCAAAATATCCACAACACAAAAAGTAAAGGAAAAGGAAAAGAAAAAAATAAGCAGAATTTCAGCAATACAAAAACTTTATAATTCTACGGATTTTTCATTTTTCACAGGTGGTTCAATATCTGGCTCAAAAACAATGCTTGGTATTTGCTGTTCACCAACATAACTATTCTCCATATCAACTGCACCATCTGGCTGGTCAGTAGAAGGATGTTGAGGAGTAATGGTCCTGTCTTCTGATGCCTCTGATTTGATAGTGTTGACGGAAGTGTTTCCAGGAGATCTAAACTGCTGATACTCACTAAAGGAGAAAAGTAAGGCCAACGTGCTGATCAAAACTTGCTGATACAGAAAATATGATTATTCTACCGTGTCACTTACAGTCGTTCTCAATCGCACGAGCGGAATCGTCTTCACAATAAAGCACGTACTTTTGGTAGATGTTTGTTTTTGTTTGTCTTTTTATTTATTTATTTTTTTCTGGTTTGTTTTGTGGTTGCTGTTGTTATGTTTTCTTCCATTTTGTTGTTATTGTCGTTGTTGTTTTGTGTTGACAGGACACTGATTAACCAACTGACTAGTTGACTGACAGACTTTGCGATGGACAGGCGAACAAACTGGACTGACTAGTTGACTAGCCAATGACTAACTAGTTGACTTATTAAAAGACTGACTTAGTCTCTGTAGGCTGACTCTGTAGGCTACAGAGCAGTTGACTGACTGACTGACAGCCTAAATATAAATATGTTCTTTTTTCATTTGATTACATTGACATATTTACCTTTGGATGTTCTCCATATTTTCTTGTAGAGTTTGATTTTCAAATTTCAGCTCTCCAACTCCTTCACTTAGATTCTTGCACTCTGACTGTAGTTTTACAACTTCATCTTCTAACCTGACCTTCTCTTCTTTTACTGACTGCAATACCAGCATCACTTCAGGCACAGTATGAYGTCCGTAATCMCGAWATAGATGCAAGATGTTTGGTGGTTTGGGGATGTTAAGACCAACATCATCCCAGTCATCAAAATCCTTTAGAAAATGACATTAAGAATTAGGAACACTTTATCACACGATACAAATATGTGGACATATTTTATKAGAGTGAGCTAGGAAATATCCAATCAAATAAGGGGGAAAAAAGGAAACAATGTATACATTTATTTTTATTTCTAATTTTATCAAATTAAAGAAGTGAACACAGGCGATAGTGGTTCAAAATATGAAACTCAGCTCCACAGCAATTAGTGGCAGGGCAATCTGTCAGTCAGTTAGTCAATCAGCCAGCCATCCAAGGTAACAAGGCAGGCAAACAGGCAGGCACTCAGTCAGCCAGCCATTCGGTCGGTCGGTTGGTCGGTCGGTCGGTCGGTCGGTTGGTCAGTCAGTCGGTCGGTCGGTCCGTAAGTCAGTCAGTCAGTCAGTCAGTCAGTCAGTCCGTCTGTCCGTCCTTCCGTCCGTCCATCCTTCCATCTGTTGGTCTGTCTGTCCGTCCATCTATACATATGTCCATCAGTCAGTTAGTCAATCAGTAAGTCAGTCACTACCTTTGTGCCCCACATGCTTGCTAGTAATCTAACATGTCAAACCATTACCATACCAACCTGTTCAGTATTTTCATCAGAGAAGGTAATCGATGTTAGCCTGTAGTTGTTCACCAGTAGATATTCATTGACAAGGAAGTTCAGTGCTCTTATTTCATGTGGCTTGATTGGATCCTACAGAGAAAAAGAATCATAAACAAAAATAAATAACATGGCATCTGGTGATCTGGACCCTAAAAAAATACTTTATGAACCAGCCAAATGTATAATGAGGTTGGATGTAATTAGGGTAGCATACATCAGTTGAAGAAGGTTCTTTTGTATCAGTAGATCCTGGTCCTTTTCTTGAAGGAGATGAACAGTCAGTCCCTGATGGTAATAAAACAATTTAATATTGACTGAGAATCTACACATTAACCTGTTTGGCATGGCAACCCAACATCAAATATAACAAAAGGTTGAGAAATCAAGGCATTTTGCATAAAGCACTGACTTTTTAAATGTTTTAAAAATAAAATAATAAAAAATTCTTGTGAGAGCTTAAATTGAGAAAATGTGTTGTGTCTGGAGTTACATCTAGTCGGCATATAAACATGTAATAATAAAATAATAATAAAATGTAATTGTATAGCATTTTAAAGAATTGCATTGTTACTRCCCTATGAGATARCTACCATGAAATCCCTCCATTGCTGGCAAACCCCAATGTACCTGCAACTTCTGTCAGTGATCCACGCAGTGCTTTGATGGTTTCATGAGCCTTCCTCAACTCAAATTCAAGTACTGAGAGACAAAAATAAAATAAACTTTACTTTCTATTTTACACCTCTGATTCATATGTAAAGATAATATCAACAATATTATTTTTTAAGAAAATTTATTTATCAAGGCTACAGCAATTATTAATTAAGGTTGAAGTAAAGTGTTTTTATTATTAATGGATCCATTGACTGACTGTAGAGCTAGAAATAACAGCTACTTAATGGTTGGCATGATAACCGGCCACACTGGACTATTTCAACAATATTGCAGCCATCTTGAGTTGCAAGGAATTGTGGGACATCCAGGGGGCGGAAAAAAGCTTTGATATTAACAGCTCACCACAAGAGAATACGACAAAAGATGAATCAAAACGGCACATCGATCATCTTTACCCAAAAAAGAAAGACAAACACGAAAAACTCTATATATTTTGTCATCTTTGTTTTCCTTCGCACCCTGGCAACATGGCTGCTGTATTAACAAAGAAGTCCACTGCTGATGGCATCAGCAAGTGTTCTTCATTCACTAGCTAATAAACCCCATTTGTGGGCCAATCATAGAGAGAACAATATCTAAGCCAGCATGTTAGCTTGTATGTTTTCTATTACTTCAATATAAACTCAGCTGAGTTGACCTTCAGAACAAACTCAAGGTCAACCAATCAGAATTGAGGATTCAACATCATATTTTTGATTAGCATTTCCCGTGATTCTGCAGAGAGAACCTATGAAATATGACAATTCCATTCTCTAAATCGATGGCATGAGAAATTTACATCGTACTTAGCCCCTGCTAGAAAATGCTAACCAAAAATAGKTGACCATTATCCCTTTTGGAGAACACGGTCAACTCAGCTGAATTTTATGTTTTAAATCAATTTATTCAAAAAACAGTAGTATAGGGGATGGGGTTTCCAAAACAGTGACCATCCGAGGTTTACCCGCGTTTGTAGAACCTCGGTTTACACCGGAGATACCCGCATCCCATGTCTATGTAGTTAAATATGTTAGTCTATATATGGAGTGTGAAGATTGTAAAGAATTCGTTTACGACTTCTGTATAAAGTGCTTGAAACCAAAGTTTGTGCCCCAACCACCAAGGAAGCTTGTTTGTTGTGGTAAGAAGATACAAATAGAAGATGACACATCGGCACAGTGTTACGAGTGTGGTAAGAACATTCGCAATGCCGTACCTTGTACTACCAGGGAACAATATTACTCTAACGGAGGTCGTAAGAAGACCCCCTACGAAAGAATAAAATACTTTAGGGATTGGATGATTCACATCCAAGTTCTTTGACCGGTATATTTAGACAACGAAGTAATGGAAGCGCTTGACTTAAGAGAACCAACACCACAAAGCTTAAGGAAGACATTGAAAAAATTAAAGCTAGGGAAATATTACAAAGGTATTCCCTACCTTTTGTCTGAAATTACCGGTGAGTCTATTCCCGAGGTTTCTGAAGATACTATGAGAAGAGCTGAGTGGATGTTTTGTCGGCTGGATAAGGATATTCCTTATTACCCCGACGTAATTTACGAAATATTTTACAAAATAGACCCCAACCACCCCCTGTTAAGATGGATTCCCAGGCGATGATTTTACACGAGTTTTTTCACATCTGTGTAATATTTTGTGAAAGCGCCAGAGGCTGTGTAACTAATCTGCATTTGAACCAGACTGTCTTTCAATATGTAAATACAACCCTGTCTCGCTTTTTTCAAAGTGAATGTTTACTGAGCGAGCTTTCTTTGGAGCTCTTCCTTTGCTTCTTGGTAGATCTTCCTTCGAGATTCCTCGGAAAGATCCCTTACAATTGTTTTTTTTGTTGCCAGACTTCAATTCCCCGTACTTCTTTTCCTCCGCCAGGATCAAAGAGAATTCCACGTCGTCTATCCTACGGTCTACCAGAGCTTTGGAGACTAGATCGGTAATAGTGTTGGCTTTTGCCCTTGCAAGGGCTATCGTTGTTTCATGTTTGGATATCTTGTTAGACAATTGTTTTATGATACCCGTGGCAATGGCGGAGACGATGCCGCAGGCAGCTCCGACGCCGGCAAGGGGAACGCCTACGACTACTCCAGGGCCAGTAAGCGAAGTAGCGACGCCGCTGCCCGTCAAAGCGACAGACATGGACCCGGTTGTTATCGAAATCTTGTGCAGCGTGCTGCGGGCTCTGGCGTATTTCTTCCTGACGCCTTCGTAGTGTTTTGTTTGTTGTTCTAAGTAAGCCAGAATTAGGTTCGCTTTGTTGAGTCTGAAATTCTCTGCATCCGCAATGGGCGCCGTAGTGTGATAATTGGGAATATCTGGGTACATCTTAGGTGCCGATGGTATAACATCCATTATATATACTAATGTACGACGCTTTTGGGAATGACATAGGAGCGCAGCCACATCACGACAACCGGGACTACGCCAACTGGAGAGCATTTAGGAAGATGTTTTCACACGCAGACGCTAGCAAGTTCGAGCGCAGACCTGACGGGATTTACTTTAAGGGAACCAGAATGTACAGCAACGCAGATTTGGAGCCAAAGAAGGAACCAGAGGTAAAGCATGCGCCAATGGCAAAGGAGTTACAGCCTAATTTCCCAAAGAATCTGTTAAGGACGACAGAGGATTACCCATTTTACGACGCGGAAGGTGGTATAAACGACTTTGATAAGATAGTAACGCATTTGAAGATTTCAGTGGGTAAGCAAACGTTTGACGCAGTAGTAAGGATTTTCTTTAAGGATTTTAACCTTACGCACACTTCAGGAAAAGAAGCCAGAGAATGGTTAAAGGGGTCCAACTTTAGGTATTGGCCGCAGCAGTTGAGCTTTGCCGTTTGGGCAGCCACGAAGGGCTGTGGGGTTGCCGTGGACATGTTTGACATTGCCTTTCTAAGGTTYCACGTTGCCTTTACTATGCGCCGTATATTGAAGGAGCTGAGTGTTCCATTGCCAGGGGAAAAGCCCTTTAAGCGAATGGATAATCCCTATGATTCCGCCGCCCTAGAAAGGCTAATGAATGAGTTTAAGCCGCAGCAAAGGGACTTTCGTTATCGGGAGGGCGCCACGCATGGCTTAGACATCATTTATGCTTGGCATGTTGACGGCGTGCGTCCGGCAGACATGTATCATCAAAAATACCCGGGGGTTTTGAAGTTTTATGACCTGGGCGGTCGTAAGAATGACATTACTCTGATCGATAGGATTGAGACGATTTACCCCAGTCCATGGGACCCATTTGTATTATTAAAAGGAAAAGGCCTAAGAAACCTAGCTAGGATTAACCGCAGCATTGAAGCATTCGTCTACTGCATCTTAGGAGCGCAGGTAAATACCCGCAGCCCCATTGTTGGATCCCAAGGTGCGTCGCGGGAAAAGCAACAGGAATTCCTAACCCTATTTGAGTCCGCAATAATAGAAATGACATATCCAAATCGGTGCAAAGATATCAATTAGCGGTGCAGCAATCCAAAGTGCGGCTGGATTACGCCTTGAGTCCTGGTTGTTGGTTAATGCCAAGTAATTTGGTTATCAACGCTAATTCCGTTGTGGGTTACAACAACAAGCTGCAACGAGCTACTAAGGATATGAAGTTTGGGGTGAATGACGTGAACTCTGACATGACCAAGGACATTCCTCACTTCGTAAAGAAGCCAAAGAAGTCACATGAAACGAAGCCACCCGCAGTTAAGGAACGAAAGAAGGTCCATGTTATGCCTACGATACCCGAGGAATATGACTATAACTTACTAAAAGCCGGCTTGGCTACCGCAAGCATTGGTCTGAGTTATTATAGATGGCGATGAACAACCCCTACGTAGCGGGAGTAGATTGTGTCTATACGACTTACACAGGCGAGAAAAAATACACCCAAGCATCTTGGGCGGACGTCACGGGGATGTCCGTGGACTTGAACTACTCAGGAAATAAGCTAATCTTATGCAGTCTTTCTTTGGGAGATGTTAATAATGCGAACATAGGATTTCGTTTCTGCGACGACAAGGGCATACTGCAGCCCATGCGCGCGAAGATAAACAACAGAGAGCCTACGCATTTCTCAGTAGAGCCGCCAACGAATAGCGCCGAGAATCTTTCCGTTTGGACTTTTCACCTAGTTGCCGACTGCCATGGGAAAGTAAAATTGCAAATACGTGTAGATGACACTGGGAGCGTTTGCATAAATAGCATAGAAAGTCAAAGGAATACTATCTATAACCACATGACCATCAGCACTTTGACGGTGATGAGCCTTTAAACATATGAATCCATACGTAAGAGAAACGCGCTATACCCATCGCTTAGATGAAGAAGGATATGACAAGGGCGCCTGGCATGACGTCGGAATGTGGGTTGAAGTTGGGGGCACTGCGTTGGTCATTTGCACTATTAGCATTAACGCAAACACGCATGCAAATGTGGGGTTTAGACTGATCGATGAAAATAATAAGCCTCTGCTTCCTTATCGAACTTCAACGAACACCAGGAAAGTTACCCATTTTTCGATGGAACCCTACACTAGGTCCCCTGAAGACCTAACGCCAGTGACTTTTCATATGCTGGYCAATTGTAAATATGCTAAGTTGCAAGTCACTTCTGATGATGGTAAGTTTGGGATAAATCGTGTAGGTCGCAGGCCTGCCAATGCAGTCTGGAGTCCTAAACCCATTTCTACCATGAGCGTGCTGCCGTTGGTTCCGAATTACCAGGGCGGCGCTAATACTGTCTTTCATTATCCTCAAAGCGGGGCACCCCCCGATGAGAGGGACAAGATCAACCCCTCACCTTCTTCAGGAGGACCACCCCAATAGCTACCACCAAGATCCAAATGTTATTCCCCAAGAACTTCAACAGTTCCCCGCCAGTCCTAAGTGCGAAGGAAATGACAGATCCAAGCAGCCCCGAAATGCTGGCTGCCATCTTTTTTCCCAAGTCCGTCAAACCCTTACCTAACTTACTTACGCTTTTACCCGCGGCCTTAAGCGTGGATAGGATATATCCCAGTACGCTTGAAACAGCAACAGCAAC